CAAATTTTATATATGTGATATACATTAAAACTTGTTAGTGTATGCACTTACAATACATGAAAGGTTTACGCTTATTATATATACAACCAACATATTTTTATAAATAATTACATGAGCAGGGCTTTAGTCAAGCTGAGCCTTGTTAAACCTTCAACTCACCATTAAATTAGGTTTATATTTAGGGCCGAATTTTATCCAGCCAAATAAGACACGCGGTTTGGCCCTATATTTTAGACCGGATGAGCCGAGTTTAGGCTGGCCTGGTCGGCTGGTCCTACTACAGTTTTAGTGTTTTAAATTGGTTGACTTTATGAAATTTTAAAATAAGGTCATGATACATATACACGCACATTAATAGGTTGGGTTTGCCATATTTTCTATACTAGGGAGAAGGCCCATGCAAAGCACGAGAGTTTTATACCTGTAGTGTTGTTAAATAATTTGGTTATGTTGGACAATTTATTTTTCCCTCAGGTAGGGCATATTGTTAATGGTAGTAAAAAATGTCATTCTATGTGTAGATAAAACATTGCATACTATTATAGTGGATAAACAGTTGAGAGAATTATAATAGTTGTAGATTGGATTGAGAGTTAATGTTGTGTTTGGATTGTAAATTATTTGAGATAATTTTGTGAAAAAAGTACTGTAACATTTTTTTGATATGATGTATGTGAGATAGAAAGATGATTGAAAAATGTGTTGATTATGCAAGCAAATTAGTATATGTAAATAAGGTGTAATAAGTCGTAGCCTTGAGATAGATTGATAGATAGTTAAAGTCGTAGTCTTGAGAGGTAAGTAAATAGCTAAGGCAGCAATTTTGCAATCCTTTAGATGACATAGGGATGAAAAAGGACACGATTAGATTTTTGCTTCTCTAGGTTGGCGGTTGAGCTTCTTCAGAAGAGTTTTGAGTTTCAGTAATTGTGGTTAGAACTTCTGGAGTGGAGCTTGGTTCAATTGTTACTTCCAAAGACTTTTGTTTCATGTGTTCAATTAAATTCAGTAAGAAAATAACAGAGCATAATACTAAATTTTTTTATGTATAATACTATAATAAAATTTTTGACAATACCTCAAAAAAACACCTAATTCATAAAGACCGAAATCTTTTTTTTTTTTTTTAACAGTAGCCTTGTGCATAAATCAAAACAATGTTCTTGTGCCTTACGCGAGCTCGCAATTAATCTATACTAATTTGCTGGATATTTACCTATTCTTTTTACGCAATCCTTACGGGGCTCGACTAATTCCCTGCGGTCCGGGCTCGGCGCCCCAACCCGACCCAAGGGCGATAAGTGCGCGGAGGAATCCAACAGAGCGGAGAGTCGAACTCGGGACCTAAAGATTACCTGTGGGAGGAGCTACCGCTGGACCATTCACGCGGGGGCAAGTACTATTGTTGAAACGAACAATTTTGTGCAAGCATAGACAAACTAACATCCTGGTTTGATCCTAACTAAACTGTGCCTTGGACATGCAACTAGACTCTCATAATTTATTTTTGACAGCAAAGCTTGTAACCAAATTCAAAGTGCGTAAACTCAATGATACAACCGAATGGGAACTAAGCGGGATTAAACAACATAGATCATAAGCTCATCAAGAAATGCTAAAGGGTAGCCTAAACGTCTAAAGAAAGCAGTGAAGGTTTCATGCGTTTTTTTAAGCCCCCTTAACTCCAAGGATCCACAAACTCCTCAATCACGTATTTCACAATGGGTAGCGCACCTCTGTAGGACAAAGATTGCAACCCTAACGAGTAATCAAATTTATGCTCTGTTTGATAATTCGATTCAACACTTAAATTTAATGGATTCAGATCGTTTGACAACAAAAAATTGGACATCTGAATTGATTAAGTGACACTGAATATTCTAGATAAAACTCGCCCCCAAAATTAAGTGATAAATTATTCACTTATCACTGAATGTAATATGCACTCAAATACCTCATATTTAATACTTAAGAATTCAATAATTTAAAAAATTTAAACTTCAGATTTCAGTTTTATCAAACGCACCCTTAGTCTCCTCCAATTGTGATCAACCTAAAATTAAGTAATAAACTATTCACTTATTACTGGATGTGATATACACTCAAATGTATTATATTTAATACTTAATAATTCAATAATTTAAAAAATTTAAACTTCAGATTTCAGTTTTATCAAACGCCTCCTCCAATTGTGATCAACTGAAGCAACTAAAGTCAGTGTAAATAAATGCCTCTTGAAAATAATTCTTCAATCCATGTCTTTTCAACCAATATAGATCAGACATAAACTTGGTTGTATTTTGTGCCAAACACTATACACAAAGGGGTTGTTTGGTAAGTGGATATGAAGGGCAGAAATGGATATCAGGTTTAATGATACTCGTAGCTATTTTTTGTAGGCTATTGTACGTAGGAATTAATTAATAGGGATGAAAATGCTAAATTCTTTCTTTCTCCTATGATTATCGGTCTGTATCTTGGGTCTCAAATTGATTAACTTATTAATGAAATAAATCCCATCTCACTTCCAACCAGACACGGAAGGAGGAATGACTAAAATTCACATAATCACACAGTTAGTGGGGTTTATGATTCTGACACCGACTGCTCTTCGGATTCCGATTCCAGAATGCGATGCAAACACCTCCTAAGTTATATATAACATGCAAAAAGAATATGGTGAGGAACAAGCCGGCACTACAATATATGGGGAATGGTAAGGATGAACAAGCCGGCACTACAATAATTTGAGAGAACAACACAACGGGGTGTAATGCCTTTATTATGTCTAACAATTATACCCTCTCCTACAGTGGGAATGTAATAACCATGATGCGATATCATCATGATCATTACACGCATAATAGCTACGATTATGGGTACCATTTGACAATATGTTAAAAGTTTTAAATTTTACGGAATATGTATCGTGACTTATTAAATAATATATGTGCGTGTATACACGCATGTGTATGATTTAATTGTGAATTCATATTATTACTCTCTTTAGAGTGTAATTTATAACGACAGATCAGAAATCGTGTAATAAAAGATGAGATACATATGTGTTACTCTCCAAGTAGTGTGTAATTCATCGTGGATCCCTTCAAATAAACAAGCACATGTATTCAAGCACTGCATTGGTGGAGGCATCTCTTCAATCATATGACAGGTCAAGATGCAAGGATAGTAAAAGATATATAGACTCTAAAAAATTATAAAATGTCCTCGCACGTCTTCCCGTCATGCTACTTGCCAAATACATTTGCTTAAAATATAAGAACCAAATGGCAAGAAAAGGATTAAAAAAACAGGTCAGTTGAGTGCACTTTTGGACTTTAAGAATTGCTGCCCACATTTCAAACCGAGTTTAGCGCCGCGTTGTATCAAATGAAATGGACAGTCAACTATATGTTAAGAGTCAATATCTATGGATTCTTTACTAAGAATGATAAGATTTACTTAGTAAGTAAGACCTTATTGCCTGGTATTTTCTTTTTTTTTTTCCCCAAATGTTACTGCTTAATAATTTGAAGTTTGTTTTACCCAACTCATCCCAGGAAAATAAACCAAGTGAAGGAAAGAAAATAATAGAGAAGTTAGTAGATGTTTTATGTAACAATTAGAATTTTACAATGCCCTGATGGCGCGCGAGGCCTATGGTTATTTTATTTGCAAAAAGTTTTTATGCTATGAAATTCAAGGGGATGAAGATTGTGCTCGAATAGAAGGTTGTTTAGAAAAATTTATTAGATCAACATTATAACTCTTTTTTTTTTTGTGATGTATTACGTGTGAGATAAAAAAAAATTGATAAAGTATAAAATAATTATGAAAAATATATTTATGATGTAAATAAAATAAATTTTACGAAAAAATGGATATCCAAACATGTGTCAGAGTGCATTAATTAAAATGTTAAGGGTTGTATAATCAACTCATTAAGAAAAAAGCGAAATAGAAAGCAAGATCAGTCTCCTTGTGTCTAGTTTGGAGCTACGATGCGTTTACAAAAAAAAAAAATAAAAAAAAAAAATTAAGAAGCGCTTTTAAATAATAAAAGTTCATTTAAAGTGTTTGGTAACTAATTTTTCGTGTTGTTGTAAGGAGGCTAATTTTTTATTAACTTAAAAACACTTGTATCAGAGTGCTCCTTGATAAGTAATCGTAGCCCAAATGGAGCTTTTGAGGGCCTTAGGGTGTGTTTGATAAAATTGAAGTCTGAAAATTAAAGTTTGAATCTATTAAATTTTTAAATTTTTAAATATTAAATTTAATACATTTGAGTGCATATCATTTTCAATGATAAGTAAATAGTTTATCACTTAATTTTGGGGGCAAGTTTTGTGTAGAAAATTTAATATCACTTAATTAATTCATATGTTCAATTTTGATTATTAAACTGTCTGCATATGTTAAGATCTGAATTCATTAAATTTAAGTGCTGAATTAAGGGCCTGTTTGGAACCTGAGTTTTTTGGGAGTTTGTCTAAAACTTTACTGTAGTGTACTGTAGAAGTTTTTGAAAAATTTTGTAAGGTAAAAATTTTGTAGAAATTTTTGTAAGGTTTTTTTTCCTTTCTTTTTTTTTTCTTTTTCTCTTTCTCTTTCTCTTTCTTTTTCTTTTTCTTTCTTTCCTTTTTCTTTTTTTCTTCTTCTTCTTCTTCCCCGTTACCTCCGCCGCCCCCTGCAAAAGCTCCCCCGTCGCTCCCCTCTGCCCGCAACCCCCTCCCCCACCCCTGCAAAAGCTCCCCCTCTCTCTCCCTCTGCCCGCCACCCCTCTGCCCGCAACCCCCCCCCCACCCCTGCAAAAGCTCCCCCCCACCCCTGCAAAAGCTCCCCCTCTCTCTCCCTCTGCCCGCAACCCCCCTCCCCCACCCCCTACAAAAGCTCCCCCACTCCAATACTGCCAACGACCTTTCTGCTACTGCACCCTCCAAATCCGCCATTGCGTCCACCACAACCCCAAGCCCCGGCTTCGACTGCGCCGACTTCCCATATCATGCCACCGCATCTCCACCGTCCGCGACTGCACGTGGGTTTGGAACGAGTGACTTTTCTAGCAAGTGTAACGCGCCGAGCTTGTCTTCGTCCGATCCAGAGCTGAAACGAAGCTCCGCAACGTGAAAAGTTTCTTCCAACTTGGTAGCGGATAGTTGCGGCGGTGGCAGAGAATCATGCGCTTTTCTTGGTGGGGTGGGCTCCGAAATCTTCGGCTTTTCTTGAGTTTGCTGATACGGGTGTATAAAATGGTGAGAGATGGGGGAGTTAGTCAGCGGGAACCTCCATTGGGTGAAGCTTTGGGAGGTGTTTGAGGAAGATGAGGATGATTCCGAATCGGGTTTGGTCGGTGCATGTGGTGGATGAGAGGAAGACGGTGGAGGAGGGAGAGGAGGAGGAAGAGGTGCTGGTGGTGGTGATGTTGGTTTTGGCGGTGGCTGATCAGAGATGGCTGGGAAAGGGAGTGCTGGAGAAGTGGTGGTGGTCGGACTGAGCATTGTTTGAGTACAGTTGCGAAAAAACCCGCAAGAAAAAAGTGGACGTGGGTGCAATTTTTAGCTTGGGGTGTTGAGATTTCATTACCGCCGCCGGAAGCGGTGGTGGAGATTGTGGCCGGTTGGGTGGGGGAGAAAAAAGAAGAAAAATTGAAAGGAAAGTTTTTTGTGTATTATTTTAAAATGTGTAGGTAAAAAACTTTGATAAGTTTTTTAGGGTTCCTGTAGCAAAAGTTGTTAAAAAACTAGTAGGTAAAAAACTTGGCCAAAAACTTCACTTCCAAACAAGCCCTCAGTTATCAAACATGACCTTAGTCTTTAATCCAAATTCGGTACAAGACAAAACAAAAAATGTATAAATTTTGGGAGTCGAAGTTGAGTGTTACTACGAAATTGCCACTGTAAGTGGGAAATTATCTGACCTTCTCGGTGCATTACAACTTACAACTTCTCCGCTTTGTATAAATTCAGCTGTCCCCCTTCAGCTTTTCTTGCATCGCCGAGAAACTGAAAAATAGTAAAATTCCCAAAAAAAGTTAGCCAAAATGTCGGGTTACCCTCATAATTACGGTTACGGTGCACCACCGCCCTACGGCGCTCCACCACCGCCTTCCACCCAACCCTACGGAGCACCACCACCACCGTCCGCGCAACCCTATGGAGCACCACCACCACCGGGACAATCTCCGTACGCCCCAGTTGCCACCCCATACTCCGGCCCATCTGCTCCACCTTATTCCTCCGACCCCGCAAAGCCTCCCAAGGACAACAAGCCTTCCGCCTCCGCCCCATACGGAGCAGGAGAGCCACCGCACTCCGCTCCCTACGGTGCTCCAGCTCCACCGCACTCGGCTCCCTACGGTGCTCCAGCTCCACCGCCACCATATGGCAGCCCTTTTGCGGCTTTGGTCCCCTCCGCTTTTCCGCCTGGCACTGATCCCAATATCGTTGCTTGCTTCCAAATTGCTGATCAGGATGGGAGTGGATTTATTGATGATAAGGAGCTCCAGAAGGCACTTTCGTCGTACAATCAGAGCTTCAGTTTGAGGACTGTTCATCTTCTAATGTATCTTTTTACCAATTCCAATGCTCGAAAAATTGGTATAATTTCTTTTCTTGGTTAATTTTTTAATTTATTTTGTGTAATTTTTACATCCATTTCGATACGCACATTTGTATATTTGTGCCGTGCAAATTTTAGTGTTAATGGTACAAGTCATTGATTGACTCGAAGGTGTTAATTTAACCGTGAACCGTGAACCTGAAGCCTATCCGGTTCACTCAACGGTCCGGCCCCGATGTGTGTTGCCAGCCTTGGTCTAGCCGTAAAGAACTAGCTAGCAATTGACCACGACAGACTTATCTCCATATAAAGAAAAGCCGGGGGTTTATTTTTTTGGGGGTGGGTGGGGGGGTTTAAGGGGCTGTGTTCGTGACGTTCACGAGATTATCTGAAAAGAATGGGATTTTTCTCGTCTTGTTGAATTGTTCTATTCCAAGTATTTGCTGTTTGACTTTTTGGGTTAAACTGGGATTTGAAACCTTAGAGGCTCAGTGGAGTGGTTGTTTGGATAAAAAATTTGTTGTGGACTATTATTGAACTTGTTTATCTTTTTGCAAGTGGTTTAGTTGGCCAATGGACCTGGTCTTGGTGATTTTTACGCGTATCATTAATTTATGTCATATCTGCATTTATTGATTGCTTTTTGTTGTTGTTGTGCGGCTATTATTGATGGTTGTAGAATATGTATTCGTGGCATTGGGTTGTATGGGGTTTATTTGCAATTCGTAATGGAGTTGTTATTCTTGGCCCAGGGGTTAAGCTTAGTGATGGACTGTGGTGGCAACTCTTTGATATCTATCTGCTTAACACTTGAGTAAAAAATCTGGTACATTGTTTTGGCTATTTTATGAAAAGGACCATTCGGACTCGTGGGGCATGAAATAAAAATGGCAGTTATTTTAGAATTTCATGAGATTTCAGGGTGGGAGGTTGCATTTGTCAAGGTCAGGAAACTGTGATGTTGTGGAAGGATGTCATGTCTATCCGTTGATATACTTGTTACAAGCTAGACAAAGAACAGTACAAAGTAGAAACACATGATACAGTAATGGAATGAAAATGCAAGAAAACAACGAAGGTCAGTCTCTTAGAGTGAATTTTACACCCAAGAATACATATTGTCACTTAGGTTGATAGTTTGCATTCTTAAGATATGCGCTGGTCTGTTCATTTTTGGTAGTTCTTCATTTTATTTCCTCTTCTTGTTGTTGAGTTCTTTTTGGGTTTAATGATGTTAGATGTTCTTCTTATTGGGACGTCAAATTTGTTTTTTCCTGCTTCAAGCCCTGACTACCATAGTGTTGGCGGAAATAACCAGAGGTTATGTGTGATTGGAAAGTTTTTGAGATGGAGTAAATTTGCTAAATAAGATGTTATAATATGATGACAAATGGCAAAGCATGAGCCCCAATATTTTTAAGTTCCCTGCTCTTGGCAGCAAAAAGCTTTCTTCTCTAGTGGGTGCATGACTATTCTGTTTCAGATATGAAAATATGTGATTCTTTGTGTGCGATATATTTCCTGTGTATTAATCTTTTGAAGAAATCCATCTTGTTCCTGCTGCCTTGTTTTCTGGTTGTGAGAGGAGGACAAGAAATTGCTTGCCAATGTTGTCATGATGTTGCCTAAGGAACAAGAGTGTTCATGATATTAAAATTTCTGTTGGCCACATTTTCTGTGGCAATTTAAAGTTTTATGAACTTTGCAGGGCAACCTTGCAAGTTATACTAAATATGACTGGCATTCTCCTTTTTTTTTGGGGTGGTTGTTTAAACTAGAAAGCTGAAATTTTGTCTGCTGATGGTGTACACTAAGTTATTTCAACTCTTCTAAGTGGTCAAGCTGGGTCATGATTTTTTTTGACAATTTGCTACCGTGTTTTGATTAGAATGACTTGTTCTTCCAAAATATTTGTGACCAAATTCAAGTTGGTTATTAAGATGGTGCAGTTTTGATGTTTGATTTGCTGTCTTGAAAACAGGTCCCAAGGAGTTCACCTCACTTTTCTACAGTCTTCAGAATTGGAGGGTGAGTTGATGTGCTTTTAGTTCCATAGTCACACCTAATGTGATGAATGTATCTTCCTCTGCATGATATCTGATAGAGATCGGTCTATTTGTTGCTTGTGCAGGCAATATTTGAAAGGTTTGATAGGGACAGGAGTGGCAAGATTGATTCCTCAGAATTGAGAGAGGCCTTACTTAGCCTGGGATTTGCAGTATCACCTGTGGTTTTGGAATTGCTGGTGTCTAAGTTTGATAAAACTGGCGGAAAGAGCAATGCCATTGAATACGACAATTTCATCGAGTATGTTCACATTTTTTATGTGCTCCATATTTTCTTTTTTTATACTACAATTTATATGTTCTATTATCATGTCTTCTAATGTTTTTGCTTTTTATATTTTTCTGCTTGGTCAGGTGCTGCCTCACCGTGAAGGTATGTCAGCTCCATACAACATCTATTCCCTCTCTAGTTTTGCCTCTTCATTTGCCACATGCTGATTGCTTACCTTATTAACTGTTAACCGATTAAGGAATACGTCGAAATTAGTATTAACATTCGTATATCATGTGAGTTGAGATGATTTTACCGTGCGCAGGGACTGACGGAGAAATTCAAGGAGAAGGATACTTCGTACTCTGGCTCAGCAACTTTCACTTATGAGTCGTTCATGTTGACTGTGTTGCCTTTTCTGATTGCATAGAGATGTGCAAAGGATTTCCGCGAGACTAAGTCCTCAGTCTCGCCGGATGTAGTTTTTTTTTTTGGTTTTTTTGTTGGATAATCCGGCCGGATGTAGTTTACTACCTGGTTATTAAACTCTCTTGCAACTAATTTGTGGGAATTCTATGCTTTGAAGTTTGGGTTACGTAGTATAGCTTTTTGTAATTGTGGGGATGTTATGTTTCGCCGGATGTAGTTTGTTCTGTATAACTTTTTTGTAATTTTCTGAAAGTGCTCCTATGGTCGCTGAGCCATCATTAATTTTTTTTTTTTTTTGGGAATTTTTTTTTCTGTTGTGGGGGGGGGGGGGTGGGGTGGGTGGGGAAATTAAGGAAGTCAAGAATTTTTTAGGAATATATATTTTAATTTATTGTGTAGTTTAAGTTGTATTGAAAATTAAAATAATCTCTTTATATTTGTAAATTTTGCTTTTATTCCGATATAACTAAAATAAATAGTTATATCTTATAAAAATTTAATCTTATTTTATTTTTTATTATTGTTATAAATTGCATAGGTAAGATAACATAAGAGTAGTATTGGATTAAAAAATTTATCTTTCTTGTATTTCCTTCAAAGGAGTTAAAATGTTACAAGAAATATCAATTTAAGGGAAGTAAGTGAGATTTTAGAGATTTCTGAGAAGATGAGTGATATTATGAGAAACTTCGGAGGTATCTGAAATTAACCCTTTTGTATTACACTCATAAAGCACAAAACCCATGATAGGAACTTTGCGGATAGGTTTAATGTTTTCCTCTCGTACACTTCCATCGTGCGGCTATTGGTTTTTCCATTGAAAATTGTGGATTTAGGCCAACGCTGTTACGCCTGCAGATTTGGACTTCTTGTTGAGTCTGCAGTTTGTGTTGCTTTGTTGTGCACGCCTGAAGATTGTGCTTCGTTTACAAGCACCTTCAGACACAGATCGCAAGACCGTGAGTCCTCAAAACAGTAGTATTACTCCTTTCTGCAAGTGCCAAGAACATTGCAAGAATTCAACCTATCAAGCTATGTATAGGGAGCGGAAGTTAAAACAATTTCCACCTTTTCATTTTTTCAGTGCCCAAAACGAAAAGTGATATCAGCCAACTTTAACCCGCTACCTTGCCAAACAACTACTCCCTCCGTCCCACTTTGATAGTCTTGTTTTCCTTTTTCGTCTGTCCCAAATTGTAGTCCACTTTCCCATTAAGAAATGTAGTAATCTTTC